TACGCATCTCTGGTATAATGTATTATAAATTATATAAGAACATAGGTATATTATATAGGCTATAAAATAGGTTTATAATTACTTGGACATTTTTTGTGCTTATTTTTTATTAAGTGAGGACAAACTATAAGCTATGTATCCATATCTGTTAAATTTGATTCACAGACCATTTTTAACCATCTCGTGGATCACCGCTTGGGAACCATTGAGTTAGATGAACGATCTATCGTTATATTTATAGCGTAATTCTTTAAAAACTTTATGATCGATATTATAAGGTGATTTGCTATATTGAACTGACAGAAAGATTTATTTATATACAAAACATTTAATTGCCCAGCAGGTTCTTTACTTACTATGAACTCTTATAGTAGAAATAAAAAATCAGTTTTTCTGCTGCAAACCATTATTTGGCATATGAAAGATAAAGTTTTGACGTTTGCTGTCCTTCAATTAACTGATTTTACTATGTGGTTTATTGGTGTATTGTGAGAGTGATAAAGGCTTTCAAAAAACTTACTAAATTTCTAAACTAACTCTTACAAGTAATTATAAGATCGTTAGTCTTACAACGATAGAAAAAGTTTCGTGAGATAGCAGAGATGACAAACATATTATATGAATGTGTATCGAATATTTTCCATGAATATTTGGGTATTAAAAACCTAGGTGTCGCATTTGCTAACAATTGACGAAAAACATCAACAGCTCACATGTCAATGAAAACTGTGGCAAAGTTAATGAATTACAGTATGAATTGCTTCTTCACCCACCATATTTTCCAGATTTAGCTCCCATTGACTATTACCTGTTCCATACTTGAAAAGCTGACTCCAGGAAAAGAAATTTGTATCAAATGATAAAGTGGAATGAGAAATTGAGGTAAATTTTGGAGGACTTGATAAATCGTATTATTTAAAATCTATCCAAATATTAAAAGATCGTTGGAGTCGATATATCGAGTTAAAGGTGGACTACAGTGAAACATTTAAAATATAATTTTCCAAAAAAAAAATACGTTTTAATTACTTAAGCCGAATATTTATTAATCCACCTAGTATATAATACTTGAATAATATTTGCAAAGTTAAAAAACCTTGAAAAATGATTTTGTAATTATTTTTTTGTTTATTATTATTTTTTGTTTTTTTTTTAATTTGTTAAAGAAATTTGATTTAGATCAATAGTGTAAAAATGCTTTTGCTAATGCAAATTTATTGTCAGGAATGTGTTTTCTATAAGCTTATAAACTGGCAAGTTTCATCAATGTGCCAATAGATTATTTTAAGGGTGTGGAAATGAAATGTATGTTATATAAAAAATTATGTTTTGTGAGAGTTAATATACAGTATTTAGTACTTGCAAGCTAAAATTTTGGACGCGGCGATGGATTTGTAATATTTAAATTGTTAAGGACAATATTTTTTTTTTGATTTAAGTATTATAATTTTAATATAATTAATATTTAGTTATAGCAAAATAATAAAAAATTTAAAACAAAATTACTTTTGAAAAAACAAATAATTTTTTTTTTCAAATAAATAATGTAAACATTAAAATTATAGCATACTGTTTTCGTGTAAGTATGTAAGTACAACAACGGTACATTTTTACAAAACCTTTATTTATTGATGCGCGATTAATAAGAATATTTTGTAGAAACATAAAGCGTGAATACTAAAGAGTAGTTTTAAAGAATATTTCTTAAAGTTTATATTGTTCATTTGTTTAAGTATTCTGTACATGCTTAGTACGTTTCACTAGGATACTGTTTATTTTTGTTTACTGCATTGAATAAATTCGTTATAGTCTTATTCTAGAGTTTAGATGATCATGTTGTAGATATCGAAGGCGATTTATACTTACTATTGCAGTTACTGAATCTTTTTACAGCCGTGGAATTTTATGGTGAAATTTTCAGTAAAGTCTTATTTTAGTTAAAAATATTCTCTGCAAAATTAATTCTTTTTGAAAAGTAGTTTTCCGAAAAAGTGCCATGTGGTCAACCACACGCTGGGACTCTATAAATTTTTTTCTCTTTGATAGTACAAACATTTATATGCGTGTTTTGATCCCAAGTATGGTATTTAGTTACTTTTATGTTGAAGTAAGTATCATTGTAAGTTGTATAAAGTACACGTAAGTGTAAAATTCAATGTTTTATGCTTTTCAAATATTTATTAATCTAAGAATATACTTGAATTATTACATATGTATTGTATTATGTAATAAGAAATAAGCTACTTACTTCGTTGTCTACGATCAATGTAATATTGTTTATTTTCATAGAAAATTTTAAAGCAATTTTCTACATGACCATTTAAATGGCACTTTTCATATATAAAAACTGTGATTTTTGGTGTACGAACAATACAGCGGTGGCGATTTTCCAATACAGCGGTGGCGATTTCTCGGAAGATAAACATATTCTGATGCACTGTGAGCTTTCTTTTTCGAATCATCGTAAGCGGTGGCTTCTGTAATGAACAAAGAGTTCTTTGATGCAAGAAAAAGGTTTCTGGCAATCAAATTCTTGAAGTTTAGCTGAGGCATCGGTTTTCTGTTGTTAGAAGGGAATGGGAAGGTAATGTATGGGAAGGGAAGCATTAACTACAGCGCTATCTAAACACTATACCCATAATGGCCACCATTGTTTGCTTACATTCCTGATACGATAGTTAGCAACTTCATTGTCATGTAAATCGACGCCGCTTATGAGTTGGTAGTAGCTGTTAATAACTTAAGGCTGCGGGACGCCAACCTTTTTATTCTCTCTGCTATAGTGTTGCACATTTACTATGGGTTCAACGGAATCATACAGTATGTTGCAATAGATACTCACAATGGCTCAATAATACCTTTACAACAAATGCACCGATTCCCAAGTGTTTGTTGTATTTGTCAGTTGCACTGGAGTAAGGCAGAATCCCGAAGATATACCCACTACCCAAGGAAAGGGTTCATAGCTTATAACCGAAACATATTGGTTTTACAAGTTCCACTGTGAATAGTTGCGACTCAGGCATTTCTACAACACCACCATAATCTTGTACATTTGATTCGTATACAACTTTAGTAGTACCAAAATACTCTCTCACAATTAGACAAACGGAATTCAAAAAAGGAGAACAAAACACAAAAGTCGCTGTAATGTTTGTTGATATTTCATCATCGTCAATCATTTCATTGTCCGATTCACCAGCAACATTATCAGGTGGCAAACATTATTATTCAATAGTTAGCAGCGTGTCACTTGGCACTACTGAGTCATCTTCGCTTCAATTGTCAATAATATGCAATAGTTCCTGATTTCTTAGATATCTTAGGCACGACATTATAATTTTATTAACCGTAAAAAAATGACGACAGAACTTTTTGCATGAACAAATGTAAGCCCTGTATAAAACAATCAAATTCATACTAACTCAACCAGCAATCAAATTTTAAAATAGACTTTTTACTATTATACATAGTAAAAAACACAAGATTAAGTAAATCAGAAGAGTATGTTATTCATCAGAGAGATTAGTCTCATTTTATTTCATTATCTAAGGCAAACATTTGTATTGCATTGTTTCATCATCATAGCATTATGGGACCCAGCGTGTGGTTCAGCACACGCCTTTTTTCGCCGGCGTCTGGTGGCAAGTAACTGTTACTACGGCGCCGGCAAAAATCACGAAAATTATATTTGGACTTTTGTGAACACATGTTTTAACAAATAAATTAGTTTTTATTTTTGTTTATTTTAATTTTCATTTGATTAAAAAAAAACATTTTTTTGTATACTTTTTATTTATTATTTATTGACCAGGTAAACTCATGGACAGATGAAAACTGTTCGAAATTCGTATTTTTATAATATTAAGATATCAAACTAAGTAACAAAAAAAAAAGAAACATTGAATTAATCACTTTCACATATTTTTAAAAAAATTTCAAAGCTAGACATGTGGTGTACCAAACAGAGGTACAAAATGGTTTACAGCAACTTAGGATTTATCAACGACACTTATAAGAGAAGATAGGTGTACACTCCAAGTTAGGATAGTACCATTTCCACCTTGGAACATTCTACAATTTACGAAGAAAGTTAAATTTTTATGTATTGACAAAGTATTTAATTGAAAACAAACTGCATTGAAACTAACTAAAATAAAGTGTGCTTCTATATCAAAAAGTAATTAGCGGAATAAGAAATTGGAAATAATTAATCCAAAGACCGTCCAATTTTTTTACGGAATGCTTTTTAACGGGGCACAACGCAGCACTAAATTTTGGAATAATCGTGCTAATAGTGCTATTGATAAAATAAATAAATATTTCGTTAGCATTAATGATTCACTTAATGTCTCTTGAAAGTATAAGGCTTATTATTGTGACACAGTTTCATTTCAAATCTTGTCAGGTCAACTTCAAGATATGTTAACTATGTTCTTTACATTCTTTACATTTCTACAGAAAATTTATTGTTATGTTTTCATCTACATATAGTCAGAAGTCGTTTAAGTGGAAGTTGCTGCTGTTTATTAATGAAACTACATTCTGCATTGAACTGAATAATATATCCCATAGCAATATATTTATACAATTAGCCATACTACATTAAAGTTCTAGAAATGAAACTAAATAAATTGAAAGGATATCAATGCCAATTTTAAGTGATATGTAGATTGTAAGATATAGACTTGTCAGTATAGAGTGGATCCCTATAATTTAATCAAAAAATTATAAATAATTTCAGTAAAGTAACGAAATTTAATTAAAAAAGAATTATCACTTCTTTAGCACAAAACACTAAATTCAAAAACATAATTTAAGGGGTGCTTAGTTTGGTGTTTTCACAATTATCATAAACTTACCGCTTATACATTAATTCTCTATACATTACTATAAAAAAGAGTTGCCATAAACTAACATTATTATTGTTATTTTATTTTTTTGTTTAATTGAGAATTTGGGAAATAAAAACACTATTTTAAAAAATTAGTTTTAAAAATTTACTTACTGAGTGTATTTGATTGTGAATTATCGAAACGACTATTATTTCTGGATTCCCACTCTCTCCGTAAATTTTGCGCCTCTGCTGCAAGATCCGGTGGCAAACTAGCCATTTGTGATTCTTCCATATCAGTTAAAATCTATTTAAAATATGTTAAAAACAATTCATTTTAAAAATTACTTTAAATAATTACGGTTTGTCTTAAAGAATCTGGCAGATTTTGAAAGAATGCGGCAGCATCTACGGGATCATCAGGATTAACAGATTGTGCTGCTTGCCTTTGTTGTTCTATTCTTTGTTGTAATAGTACCTCTGACTGGATATTTGGAGGCAATGCGGCTAGAAATTCTGGATTAACTTCAAGTATACAGTCATGAGCAACTTGAATTGCATTTTGTTGCGCTCTCTGTCGGCTACGTTGCATTCTTAAATGTTCTTGGATTACCTCCTCTCGCATTTCACTTGGTAATGCTGCCAAAAAAGATGGATCTACACCATCCGGAACAACTAAATCTCCAAGTGCCGCTCGTACTTCAGGACTAATTTCGTTTATAATTTGATTCCTGGTTTCACTTCTATTTAACGATGGCACTACATTATTCTCGGATGGTTGTGCAGAGTAATCTTGTTCAGGAGAAATTTCAATGGATACATCTTCTGGTATATATAGGCTAGCAGTAATATTTTGTACATTATGAGTGCTTTCTGAAATAGACTTTATATACAAATGTGATATGAATAAAATTAAACAATATGTTTTATGTATTGCATATGCGGTATTTGTTAGAATTAACTTTTATAATTATACCAAATTTTATAATTTGGTATAAAAATTTTTATAATTTCTTTAATTAGGCAATGTTATATTAATAATATTGAAGCGAAAAACATTTTTATTATATTAAAACGAAATCACAACCGATAGCCATACAATAGGTCTAAGTACTGTAACGACACTTTTGGGGTGACGTTCAAAAATATAATTTTTGGTGGGGTATCCTTAGCCGTCGTCCAGGGTCGTAACAATAAAATTTATATTCGGTGATCCTTTATTTACTCAAAAAAAAAACAAAAAAAAATACGTATCAAACAAAATACGTTTATAATTCAAATAAATCTTTACGTATATAAACAAAAAGAAATATTTTTATAACTTGAAGAAAATATTTTTGACAAAGATCGAAAGTATCGCGCGTGAATATATTATAGAGGTGTTTCCTTGTTTCCTGAATACATGAATTGTACACGAGATCACTGTTGTATAAGATAACGATGCTTCTGCGGTTGGCTTTGATTTATGTGTTGAGAAGACACCTGGCAGGACCGCATGGCGTCTTGGACTTCTCTTCTCCTTTTCGTAAACGACGGATGCTCTGTACTAAAAAATATAATAATTTCGCTGAATGAGCCAGATTAAAGAAAAAAAATGATAACTTAATAATTTGACCGAATGGGTTAGGTCTATACTACTTTGGCTGAATGAGCCAGGTTTTGGTTTAATGGACCAGTGAATAATCCAGCGTACTTGTCACTTTCAAAGTGAAAATCCAAGTCCCCGATCATATCAAATGCGTGTTCTTTTATATAAAATATGCCGGAGCTTTGATCTTTTTGCTGTATTTATGTTACTTTTTTTCGGATTTTTGTGCTTTTCTTGTGTAGTTTGTGTTGTGTTCAAGAAAAGTTTTCATGCTTTGACATTTCTTGTTGTTTGTAAATGTTTGTTACATTTACTTTTATATTTACTTTACATTTAAATTTAATAAAATTTGCTTAGATAAATAAATATAACTAATTAATGAAATTAAAATTTTAATAATAATTTTGTAAAATTATTTGATTATTAATATTAAATATATTAATAAAATAAATATGAGTGACTTTAATATTAGTATAAATATGTAAACAGAAATTTGGTGTAAAAATTTCCGTCCTTACAGTACTTAATCCTCTCATATAGCAAAATGGAAAGTTGTTTTGTAACATCCGATTAATAACTTTTTCACCACAAATAACCACTAATAATCGAAAAGAAATTATAGAGGCTAATTTCGCGGTCGTCCCAAAAATTAATAATAAGTAATTTCAATTATTTGGTATATATATTTATTATTATTAACATTAATTAGTTGTTCTTCTGTAGTATGCATACATTTACATAAATAAAGCAACTTCAATAAATATACTTTGTTGCTAAATAGTCTAAAAAGACTATATAATTTACTTTGTAATGCACAGCTACATGAATTATGCCTGGCCAGCACATTCCTGTTGCTTAAGCACACATGAAGCAGCAATGCTTTCATGTTATTTAAAACCACGCTATGTGCGATAAGATATTATGTATGCATGCTTTACCATTCCCTTAGATACATAATAAGTGCTAGCGTAAGCTATTATTGTATGTTAAGTTTAGCTCTAAGCTTATGAAGCGGAGCATAAGTACACATTCAATCTTAGACAAGCATACTCAGTGGATGCTATATTAAATAATAATGTTAAAATTAATATTAATAAATAATTAATAATAAATGAGTTGCAGTTTAATATTAATAAATAATTGATAATAAATGAGTTGCAGTTCACACCACACTTCATTTTGCATACTACCACACTAATATTTAGTGACACATGTTTACATTTCCGTTTTGCCTATCGGTACCACCATGATTTACCAACGAAAAGTACAATTAACATACATATGCATTAGCTTTTTCTATTGATTATTGCACAGAAGAAAGTGTTTAGTATTTGGCTTCATAATTTTATCAGCACAGCGTGAACAATTTTAGTGTTTTGCGAATTATCGCGTTAATATTTATTGTTGATTAATGCATAATTCGATGGTTTGTAAACTATAATTTTCTCTGTGTTTAGTTTGAGTTACAACTGCTTAAATTAGTTAAAAAATAATTGTTGGGTTACAAATGCTTACATCACTACTCATACTCAAGCTACAGCTGGTGTCATATGCTGCAAAATAGGAAATAACTTTTATGTGCACCACATTATGTAGGGCTGGTGAAAGCCACCGCCAATTCTTTGAAACATCTCGTGTTGCACACGGAAAATAAAGCAAACATTGCCAATTTTGGTAAACTCACATTGAGACATTAGAGCGAAATGTAGCGTAATAAAAAAGCAAATACTTCAATGCTGTTGGTAATAATTCAGTTGTTAAAATATTATTTTACTACACAATAAATTGCCATTTACACAATTAACGGATAAAATAAAATAATTAATGAGATTCGCATGGGAACCCCTAATTTTTTTTTTTAACTAAACTTAAGTAGTTGATGTGTATAAGTGGTGAAAGTAAAAATATTTAAATTAAATTTTTTTTAATTAAATAAAATGTAAATATAATTCTCAAAAAACATTTAGGATTGTTCAATAATCATCGATTAATGCCTACACCGATTGCACTTAATTTAAAAAGAAAAAAAATTTGTTGTACACAAACCTTGTGTATTAGGGTGCCATTAAGGTATATGGGCAAATTTTTTTCGAAAAATCGGTTGACAGCACCCCCAGTCAGTTCATTTTATTAAAAAATTAATCTTAAATTTTATTTCAATTAGATAAGTGGAAAAGGTGCCCCAAGAGCCCCAAGAATTGGAAAATAACGATTTTTTCCATAAAATTCATCTTTGATTGCTTATATCTCCGACATATTTAATTTTACATAAAAAGTGTTATAGGTCAAGAACAAAACTATTTTATTATAGAAAAATAACTTCTTGTGATAGTATGGAGAACTAAATATTATCTTCCTTATCTTTACAGACAACAATTCGATATTTTTACCGACCATGAACCAATAAAATAATTATACAGTATATGCTCGGTTATATGAATGCTCGATTAAGTAAACACCCCATTATGTGAACAAAAAATCGTCGAAAAATTTAGCACGTGGTATTCTATAGCGTGAACGAGGTGATGATTCAATTACGTGAACAACTAAAAATGTTTATTCTTGGTTTTATATTTTTGTTCAAAGGCTTACAAATAATATATAGAAATCAATTTCTGCTTTTATCAGTCAGCATTACAATGCAGCGAAAAGTTTTACATTATGTAATCATTATATGACTTGATTAGAAGTTTAGAAAGTGGATCATCGGTTACATCGATTTCAAAAAAATACTGCACATCAAAATCTTCAGTTAGTGCGATAAAAAAAATAAAACAAAGATTTTAGATGCCACAGATGCCTAAAGTCGAGGCAAAATTATATGAATGACTCTGTGCACAACGAAGTAGAAGTTTTCCAGTCTCTCGTAAAATATTGAAAACAAAAGCAAAAGAGATAAATAAAATTTTTAAAGAAAATAATTTTTTGGCAAGCGATGGATGGGTACAGACGTTCAGTGAAGATTTGGATTAAAGTTTCTAAAAAGTTCAAGGGAAAAGTTATCTTCGAGTTTTTTTTATTTTATTTATTTATTTAAAAAATGCTTTAAATGTCAAAAAACCCTATTATTGCATCACCTTATAACTAACTTAAAAACTAACAAAAGAAAAAGAGATAAAAAGAGATATTATTTACTCAATATATAACAATTTATAATTTATTAAATAATAAAGCGAAAAAAAAAGTATAAAATCAAAAAAATAAAAAAGAAAGAGAAGAAATTGTATTAAAAATTATATAAAAAATTAAATTAAATTAAATTAAAGAATAAAAAAAAATTTTAAATTTAAGATTAAAAATTTAGAATAGAAAAATAAACATTACAAACAGAAAGTTAAAAAACAAAAACAAAACAAAAAATGACAATTAAAGAAAAACATCAATTAAAAAAAAAAAACAACAAGAAAAATAGAAATAATTGTCAGAACGAGTAGTGTCAATATAATTCATTAATTAGCAGTTTTTTAAAAGCTCCTACTCTTGTTGTGTTTCTGGTTTCACATGAAAGCGAATTCCATACTCTGACAGAAATTTTTTTTTTTTTTTTTATTTTTATTTTCTTATATTGCGATCTGTCAATTCAGAGTAGACAATAAACAATATTTAAAAGTGACTAAATACTTAAAAGTCCGTTTTGAGCTTGAATGGACTGAGCTCAGTAGCACATCCGTCTGTTGAAGTCGGACACATTTAAGTTCCAATGGCGTTTGTTTGCGGAGGCGTGTGAACGTTCTTCCTTCTGCTATAATTCTGCTCATAAAGTGGTTGGGATGATGTAACATACGTTTTTTGTGTTTACTGGCTTGGCTTTTTATGACATCCTTAACTACCGGAACGTTGAGATCGCGTTGTATACATTCATTTGTTATATATCTAGGAGCATCTAAGATTAATCTAAGGGTTTTTGATTAAAAACGTTGGATAATCTCAATATTTGAAGATGCAGCAGTTCCCCAGAGTTCAATGCCATATGTCCAGATTGGTTTGAGTATCGCTTTGTAGATAAGAAGTTTATTTTCCACGGAAAGCTTTGAACTTTTGTTCAGTATCCAGTAGAGCTCCCGCAGTCTGATGCCAAGTGCTTTTCTTTTGGTAAAAATATGGTGCTTCCAAGTTAGTTTTGTGTCAAAGTGTATTCCTAAATATTTCACTTGGGTAGATTGAGGGATTAAAATATCGTTAAGGCGTACCGGTGGGCAATTTTTCCTTCTCATTGTAAAGGTTATTTGTGAAGACTTAGTCTCATTTGCTTTTATTCTCCAGGTTTTAAGCCACTGTGAAATGTTATCTAGCGC